TATATGAAGAAGAACTCAAAATAGACCAAACCCCTAAATATAAGAGATAAACTATTAAACTCTTAAAAGAAACATAGGTGCAAATCTTTGTGACCTTAGATTAGGCGATGCTTAGTTTGATATGACATCTAAATTAATTAGGTTTCACCAAAATGAAAAACTTTTGTGTATCAAAGGACACTCTCACCAAAGTGAAAGAAGAACCTACACAATGGGAGAAAATATTTCAGATCATGTATGTGAAAAGTGTCTAATATCCAGAATATATAAGGAACTCCTACAACTCGACAACAGGCAAATAATCTAAATTTTAAAATGGGCAAAGGACTGGGACACGTTTCAAAGAAGATATACAAACGGCCAAAACGTCCATGAAGCAATGTTTAACATCATTAGCCATCAGGGAAATGCCAATTAAAACCACAAGGAGGTAACACGTTACACACAACGGGATGGCTACAATTTAAAACAAAACAAAAAATAGTAAGATGTGGAGAAATTGGAATCCTCATGCAGTGCAGGTGGGAATGTAAAATGGTGCAGCCACTGTGGAATGCAGGATGACAGCTCCTCCAAAAGCTAAACACAGAATTACCCATTGGCCCAGCAATGCTAGGTGTATATCCCAAAGACTTGAAAACAAATGCTCATCCAAGAATACTCATAGCAGCATTATGTGCAATAGCCAAAAAGGAAAACATGCATGTCCGTCACTGATGAAGGAATAAATACATGTGGTCCGTCCATGCAGTAGAATATTATTCAGCCCTAAGAAGAAATGGGGTGATGGAACAGCTGCCAGTATAGATGACCCTTGACAACATGGTCAGTGAAGGAAGCCAGACACAAAAGAACACATAATGAGTGATTCCATGTCCACTAAATATCCAGAACAGGCAAAGCCACAGGAAAAGGCAGCAGATGGGTGGCTGCTAGGGGGTGAGGGAAGGGAGACGTGTGGCAATGACTGCCTCATGGGCTTGGGTTTCCTTTTAGGGAGGATGAGAATATTTTGAAACTAGACACAGGTAATGGTTGCATAATTCTGTGAATGTACTAAATGGTACCAGATTGCATGCTTTAAAATGGCTAATTTTATGTTATGTGATTTCATCTCAAATTTTTTTAACAGGGGCTCTAAGATTGCCATATTGTGTGTGCATTCTCTCTTTTTCTTTCTGTGTTTCTCTTTCTCCATCTCTTTCTCTCTGGACTTCTGTCTCTGTTTCTCAGTCTGTCTCTTTGTCTCTTTATCTCTTTCTCTTCCTTTCTCTGTTTCCTTCTTTTTCTCTGAGGGGGCCCCTAAACCTTTCCCTTAGTGTGGTTTTTTTTTTTGCATTTTTGCTCCAAGACTCTCCCAAAGCCCTGGCTCCTACCAGAAGCCGTCCACTACAAGCATTGGTATGAGCATCCCAGAACTATTGTCCATTTTTGGAGGGGTCAGGGAAGGAGGAGGGATCCCTAAATGATCCTATGGGTCAAAGTCCCCCAAGATCCAGACATCTTCTTCTCTGGGGTGAGCTAGCAAAGGCCCCTGCAATGCCCACTTGCTTAGGGTACTGTCTGCATCTGACTCACAGACAGAACACCAGGGCAGCACCCGAAGACGAGACTCAGTTCACCCCATACTCAGACCTCACCAAGGGAAGCACCTGGCTCAGTACCCACACCCACTCTGTGTACCTTTGTCCAGCACAGGCCCAAAGATGGCCAGGCTATTGTTGACAGTGGTGCAATTCCAGCGACGTCCTCGGAACTGGTGCTGGCACTCCTGGATACCCATCTTGATGCCCTCAGCCACACTGGGCATGATCTCCACATAGTTCCGGCAGAAGCGCAGCTGCTTGGGTACCAGGCCTGGAATGCTGGCACACAGGATGGGCTGTGTGCCCAAGGAGGAGTACTGGGGCCCAACAGCCAGGGACCTGTAGGGGAGGATGAGATGGTAACGCACCTGGTCCTGGCACCAGTGTCCCCATCATGCCTGGGGCCAGCAGACAGACTCATCGCATTGGAGGTTTGAGTGCATTCAGAGGGCCAAGATGTGGCTTTTATTGGAAGGAAATCTGATTTTATGAAGAGGACAGGATTCTCCCTCCCCTGTACCCAACACTCAGATCAAAATACAAACTGTCAAGATTTGCAGGATGAAGTAGGACAGCCCTGTGTTCCTGCTCTGCACAACTCAGGGAACCTGCTCATGTTGGGGCTGAGCCTGAAACCAATGTGAGCTCAGGGACAAGAACCCAGAACCCAAGAACTCAGGGCCAGTGGAGTTGGCTCAGGTGAAGGGGCCACCCAGGGGAGGAGCACCACCAGATCTGTGCTTCCTGGCATAATGGACACTATCCAGGAGCAGAAGTCACTGCCAGACTTGTACCCCACAAGAGCCCCAAAGCCTACTTTTGGCTGTTCATCTCAGAGATAACAACACACACGCCCACAGTAAGACATGTTCAAGAATCTTCCTTGGGCTTTAGGTGTGAGAACAAGAACTTGGAAGCTGCCCAAGTATCTGTCAATGGGACAGAGGATGAGCAAACAGTGGCTTGCCTCTGTGGTGCCATGCTGCAGAGATAGGAAGGAATGGGATGCAAATCCACAGTGAGGTGGATGGGTCACAGCCACGGGCCTCTGCCATGCCTCCAACGTGAGACCCAGACCAGGCAAAATTCATCCATGGGAAGAAGAATTGGGACAGCAGCCAGGCCATGTCCTCCTTTTTGCAGGTAGCATGAGAGAACAGCTCCTCAGCTGTGCTTTGCTCTTGTAACAGACATTGGCCACTTGGGCCTGTGACATTAATGCAATTAAGTTTAAAGTGATTACAATTAAAAAAATGTAAAAATCAGTTTCTTGGAGGCACCAGTCATGTGCCTGCACAGTGGCTTTATTTTATTTTATTTATTTATTTTTGGAGACAGAGCCTCTAGCTGTCACCCTGGGTAGAGTGCTGTGGCATCACAGCTCATAGCAACCTCCAACTCCTGGGCTCAAGTGATTCTCCTGCCTTAGCCTCCCAAATAGCTGGGACTACAGGTGCCCACTACAACGCCCGGCTATTTTTTGGTTGCAGCTGTCATTGTTGTTTGGCAGGCCCAGGCTGGATTTGAACCCGCCAGCTCAGGTGTATGTGGCTGGTGCCTTAGCCACTTGAGCCATAGGCGCCGAGCCTGCACAGTGGTTTTATACTTCACGTCAAAACAAACTGAACCACACACTTAAGGTCTTCCATTTTTCTGTACAAAATTACACTTCAATTTTTATTTATTTACTTATTTTTGAGACAAGGTCCCCCTCTGTTACCCAGACTGGAATGCAGTGGTGTCATCCTGGCCTCAACTTCCTGGGTTCAAGTGGTCCTCCTGCCTCAGCCTCCCAAGCAGCTGGGACTACAGGTGCATGCCACCATGCTCTGGTGGGGCTTCTGTGTTTAACCCAGCACAAGTTGGTCACCCCAGGTATGAGTTGTGGATCCACAGGGATTTTTCTGTCCCACTGGTGCATTGTTTCTGTGTGTCTGAAAATTTTCTGGCTGGAATGTCATGGGCACAAAGATCTGAACATTGTGGATGAGGGTTGGGAGTGATCTGAAAAGGGCTGGTCCCTAGGGTCACAGCAGGGGAGGGGCAAAGGGTGTCTGTCCACAGGAAGGAAAAACCAGTTGAATATGTTTGTTTACTTGGAAACTTAGCAAAGTGGAAAACAAAGGAAGCCATTTTGATAGAAAGAAAAAGAGGACTCTGTCTACAAAGTAGGAACTGCCCCAAAGGATATGGACAGTTCTAAGGGATTCATTCTGGAGGCCGTCTATGGTGGGGGAAGACGGAGAGGGCTCTCTGCCCACCCCCGAACTCTGCAACTTCCACAGAGAGCTCAGAGGCAGGGCCACTTCAGTTCCCTTCCCATCCGTGGGGCACAGAGGGGTGGCCTTATCTGTGGACTACAGGGAAAGCAGAGAGGGGGTCTCTGGAGCATGCAGCCTCTCTCCAGCATCCTTTCTTTGGCAATGCTGAGTCAGTGAGCTCTGTCTTCCCATCCTGTCCTCCTCCTGGGCAAGTCCTGGCTTACCACCCCCAAGTGCAGAGGTCCTCAAACTTTTTAAACAGGGGGACAGTTCATTGTCCCTCAGACTGTTGGAGGACTGGACTGCGGGCCCTGGGATGAGTTGGCTGCTAAGCAGGACAGGCAGCAGTGGCAAAAACACCCAGCGGGCCCTATAAATGTCCTAGGGAGGCCGCATGTAGCCCACGAGCTGTAGTTTGAGGACGCCTGCCCAAGTGTGTCCAGGACACAGCTCCTGCTTCTCCAGCAGCTCTGACTGGGTTTCTCCTGCCAGTGTCCTCATAGACCTGGGGCCAGGGGGTGTGGGCTTCTCCTGCCTTCACTGGACCCCAGTGCCTCTCCTGAAAGGTTTCTCTGTCTGATAGAGAGCTGGGCCTCCTAAAAGGCCTGGCAACGCATCATGCAGACCCTTCCCAGGAAGGGCAGAAAGCTGGTGGTGGTGGTGGTGGGGGCTTTTGGGTGAGGGAGGAGGGCCTTAAAGAGAACCAATTGGATTATTAAAAAAAAAATCACATAAAAAGTCCAGGCCAGGTGTGGTGGCTCACACCTGCAATCCCAGTATTTTGGAAGGCATAGGCAGAAGGATCATTTGAGGCCAGGAGTTTGAGACCAGCCTGGGCAACACAGCAAGACCCCGCCTCTACAAAAAATACACACACACACACAAAATACCCAGGCATGGTAGAGTGTGCCTGTAGTCCCAGCCACTAGGGAGGCTGAAGTAGGAGAATTGCTTGAGCTCAGGAGTTGGAGGCTGCAGCGAGCTGTGATGATGCCAGTGCACACAGAACAAGACCCTGACCCTAAACAAAAATCCAAACCCGGTATACACTATCCTCCTTCCATCTCACCCCCCGAAAGCCCCCAGGATCCAAATTTCTCATCTAAGAAAATCTTAGATGCCCCTGAATTTACAAATGCTTGACAAATCAGGACCTGTAGCTTCTTCCTCCCACACCCTGCTGGGTCAGCTTCCCCTGGGACAAGGGAAGAAGAAAGAAATTGTTAAAAGAAATGGAGCAGAGAAGAAAGCAGTGGTTACAAGGTACTTACACACAGTTGTAAGCTCAGGAGCTTCTAGCGTCAGTGTGTGTGTGTGTGTGTGTGTGTGTGTGTATACTTTTAATGCCCACTCCATGTGGCAACGTTCTTTGGATATCTTGAGAACAGCAATTGCATTTTGAATCTCCACACCAACTGTTACATGAGACAAAATATCTGCTTTTCACTGGTGACAAGGTCTCACAAATCTCCAGTGCTTCTGCAGTGTGTCATCTCTATTCTCAATTGAAGGCAAAGCACAACTTCTGTTAGTGGTTCTCAACCTTTCTAATGCCGCAATGTATTTCCATTGTTAAAAAGGGGTCACGACCCACAGGTTGAGAACCGCTGTGTTAGGGGCTGGTGGACATGAGGTGGGTCCATTTCATGACGGTGGATGGGAGCACCTGTGCAATGCCAGGTGCACTGATTTTCACCTGGGCTTTGCTGTTGCTGGCTGTGCAGCCAGGCAGTGTGAATGGGCTGCACCCTAGAGAAGGTGGCAGTAGCTGCTTGCCCAGTGAGGAGATGGTTCCCTGCCTCACCTCCTGTTTTGTCCCCTGACGCTTTCCAAACCCAGAATTCAATGGGTGCTGAAGCCCAGGATTGTGTGTATGACTACTGCCTCTCGTAAGCGAGGGCTGACCACCTGAGCTAATCTAATCACACTTGTGCTTTCAGAAGTCGATCTGAGATGTGTGGGTTCCATGCAGGACAACTGAGGACCAGAGAGCAGCCCCAGGAGCTGAGAACACTGAGTGACACCCAACTGAAGTTCATACATACACTCCAAGGAACTGAACTTTGATAATCTGGGTGGCTCTTCCTCAGCCCTTTTGGGCTTGCAAGACCCCAAGCACATGATGCAGGGAGCCTACCCAGATCTCCAGTCTAGAGAACTCAGAGCTTCAGGGAGCTCCTAAGGGTGTGACCGCCTGTCACACAGCACTGGGATTTGCCATCTCCCTCCCTCTCCTCTCAAAACAGATTTCCTTGGCTTCCTCTGAGTCTCAACCCCTTCTAAACTTCTAGGGCCTAAAGAGACAGAAAGGGATGTCAAAACCTTGGACATCCTGTCATGTAAGCGCCAAGGATCTGAGGAATGGCCACCTCCTATCCACCTGCCTCCCATCATCCCAGCACCTTTGCCTTAAAATCTTGCTGAAGCTGGCATTTTTTTCTTTAAGCCTCTGGCATTGCTCTTATTATTAACAACTGGCCGGTCCCTCACCTGGTCCCCACCTTTTTGCAGGAGCTCATCCTCCAGATCCATTCCTGGGTTCTGCTATGTGACTCCCTCCAACTCATACCCACTGGATAGGTGGTGGTCCAGGGACCTCCAGGAGCAGGAAGTGGGGCTCAGAGGATGTAGCCTTTGCCATGTTCATAGGTTAATGTGGCAAAACCAGGGTTCTAGCATGTGGGCCTCCCAGAGACCCTTTTTTTTTTCCTTTCCTCCTTCTCTCCCTTCTTTTAGAGACAGGGTCTTTCTCTGTTGCTCAGGCTAGAGTACAGTGGTGCAATTATAGCTCAATGAAGCCTCAGGCTCCTGGCCTCAAAAGATCATCCCACCTCAGCCTCCCAAAGTGCTGGGATTATAGGCTTGAGCCACTGCACTTGGCCTCCTTTTCCTAATATCCTACAGTACCATGTATACAACCTCAGTATATGCAAATGTATATATTAAAATGTATACAACCCTAGTATATGCAAAATAACATTTGTAATAAGCCAAGTGTAAATGGCATGAATAACACAGAACCCTGGCAGCCACCATGCAGCTAAGGACAAAGAATATTGCAACAGCGCTCTCCTGCCT